AAAAAAAAAAAAAAAAAAAAAAAAAAAAAAAAAAAAAAAAAAAAAAAAAAAAAAAAAAGCACCAGGCACACCCATGTTATTGATTAAGAAGCAATAAATCCATAGTTACTTTACTTATTATTTCTACTTACTTATAATTACTTATTATTTCATAAATATTAAGGTATTTATATTTCAACATTAATATATTTTTCATAAAACTATTGTTCTACTATGTACTATTACTTTAATAAACGTTCAAAATCATAAAATAAATGTACAAACACAGTATCTAACAGAGTTTTATTTTAATTAACAGTAAATTACTTTTATAGGGGGTCGATGGAGATTTCGAAAAATTATGTAGGGGTCGATGATCAAAAAAGTTTAGCAAACCCTGATCTAAAGTAAGAACTGGTTGGTCTGTAATCACGAAAGTGACCAAAATTTTGAACTGGCAAATAATAAAACAAACCGCCATAAATAACTTTTGATCTAATGAGCGGAACTTCACTTTCTAGGACAATCTTAAAGGTTTCAAGGTCTGACCTCGAATATGCTAATTAATAAGTGCATACGATATTTTAAGCTACGAAATCGGACACAAAAACGTACTTTCTCTGAATAAACATGCCTTTTTATTTATTTTTTACAAATTCAGATTTCTGACTGTTAAGATATAGGAGCAGACGCAGACACAATCTGGGAAATTGGGTGGAACAATTTTGTTCAGGAAAAAGGTATGGAATGAACCCCTATATGTTAATTTTCCTTTTGCGTATTTTGCTATATCTCGAGAATTTTTTTGAGCGACTTGAAATGGTTTTGAACATAATTGTAAAATTCACTAACCCAAAAATGCAAAAAAAAATCATGCAAAAAGAAAAAAAACTCAGATTGTGTTCTAAAATAAGGAGCCGCAATCTGGAGTATATATGATCCCAAAAGTTTGGCCAGGAGAGCGAACGATATCTTTATTTATTTTTATCTCCAGGAACTTTTAAGCTAGTTGAAATTTTTTTATACGCAATAAGAAAATTGGTTTATCCAAAGACAATTATTTACAAAAATGAATAATAGTCGAAAAAAATTATAAATTGCAAGGTATACAATTTTTTACATCATTTTAAAGCAATGGCAAATATATTTATATGCCAAAATGCAACATTTGGACGAAATCGTTTGAATAATTCCCGACCAATGGAACTTAAATTTTTTTTTTCAATTTAAAAAAAAAAATATATATATATATTACTTATTTGACCTTAAAAATCTAGCTTTCATATTGACTCTGTCTGCGGGTGTCCGTGTTTATTAGTAATATTTGAGACTCACCAAATCTGCATTATTGCTCTTACTTTTCATTCTTCCTTTTTTAAATTGTTACTCTTCTTGAAAATTATCTTTGGATATCTATATTCTAATCTACAACATCATTCATGTCACCTTCCTTGACCTTCCACCTGTTAAACTTGATTGTTAAAAGGATCCCCCATTACTCCCAGAAACATATCTCTTCTTATCTATTTTTCGTATTGTTCCCTAAAATCTGGTATTTGTCAAAGAGGGTGGTCAGAACCGAGTAGTTCGCTTGGTCTGTTTTTCTCACTATACATGTTTCATTTCTTACTCCCTACATTTCTTGGAGTCACTTGCCGCAGAATTTGTTGAATATTGTGTGGATTAATAATTGTAGCTCTTCAAATTGGTTCTTTAAGAAGTAGTTAGTGATGGCTGAACGGATAAGTTATTTTTTCCGATGGGAAATTGAAAATTATTCTTCTTGCTATTATGAAAGCTGGAATAAATGTCCCAAAAGTCCAGTTTTTACTCCTGCAAATTTTGGCGGAAGCAAATGGTACATGACACTTATACCTCCACTTAAAACAAAAGAACCAGATGAAGACATTTTGTTTTGTTATTTGCACAGAAATGACATTGATGCGGCTGATGAGGAAGTATCAATTGCTTTCATATTTCAACTAATTGGTGAAAGTGGCAATATAATACACACTAAAGGTTGTAGTTCTTTCAGGTTTAAGAGAGTATTTAAAAGAAAGTGCTCTGATTGGCAAGCTTTTCAATGTGGGCAGATAGCTAAAGACAGTTTGACCTGGAACAAGGACATCTTAACCATCCAGTGCCAGATGTACACCATGCAGGAACGACCAAGCAGTGTAGCCCGAACTAAAATAGAGGTGGATAGAGCCAGTTTTATTTGGCAAATAAACTTACCCGAAAGTAAATCTTTTTTAATGGATCGAATATTTTCTTTGTCAGAAACATCATTGTACGAAATATCTGCGACTGATGCTCCAAATGGCTTTATAGAATTAAGAGTACGTAAATTAAAAGGTGAGTCATCCTCAACTAGACTTTTAAACGGCAAAATATCATTTTTAAACCATGAAGGAGAAAAGATTTTATGGCAAAATGTCCAACATTTGTTCCCTTCTAATTACAAAAATGACGTATGGGTGCTTCCTTCTTTTATCGCCAGAAGAACGATTATAAATGATAAAAATAACCAAGTGAATTGTGTTGCTTTGTTTTGCGAGTTTTCCGCACCCAATGGTAATGTACTATCTGATATCGTCAGCATAAACGATCCTAGCTCAATGAAGTTGAGTAATGTTCTAACTATGAGAGGCGATCTCGTAAAAATGTTTGCAGACCAGGAACATTCTGATGTGGAGCTAAAAGCTGAGAACATGAGTTTACCTGCGCATAAATTTCTTCTCTCAGCGCGATCACCTGTGTTTCGCGCCATGTTCCACCACAAGGACATGCTCGAAAATGAATCTAATGTCGTGGAAATCTCAGACGTTGATTCCAAGACATTGAAATCTTTCCTGGAATTCTTGTATACAGGATCAGTAGATATTATTGATGACGAAAGTGCTTTAGGATTGCTGATAATTGCCGATAAGTATCAAGTTCTTTCTTTAATAGATACATGTTCTAGGTTTGCTCTATCAGCTCTGTCTTTGGAAAATGCATGCGAAATTCTGTATTTATCTGATCTATTGAATCTCAAGCTTCTCAGAGACAATGCAGTTGATTTCGTAGTAAAACATTTCAATGAAATCTCTAAATCCTGTGATTGGTCTGAATATATTGAGAAGAATCCATCCCTTGTATTTGAAATACTTTCACACCTGATGAAGGATTTGGGAATTGTTCCATAGAAAATATAAAGTAAATTGAACTTTGTATTTATGTACTTATCGAAATAGGAATGAATAAATCCTAGTATTAGTTGCATAAACTGTTAATTCCATTTATTTACTATTAACAAAGCGTTAATATATTTATTTAGGACAGAGCCGTTTTTAAGGGTGGCCCAGGGCCCCGAGTTCTGATAGGGTCCTTGAAAAGTCTGAAACCCCATTGCATTATTTTTTTTAAATTCTAACTCATTTATTATTTATAACTGAAGTTTTGGTTCCGGGGGTGTTTCACCGAACATACCACCTGTGGTCTTTACCCCCACCCCAACAGAATGAAAGGAACTCCTGATGTAGGTATACTGACATCGAACACAAGTACATGGGTTAACATAAGATTGATTTTTGTAAAAAATCTCGCCAGTGATATGTTTGTAAACTACACCGTCCCTCTTACACACGAATTAGCTGGGCATGCTCGACAAATCGAAACCAAAAATCGAAATACTAGATGAGTTGTGACTAGTATTGATAGCACTGGTCTAATAACTAGTTTTACTCAATATCCACAACCTCTAGTGAGTTGTGGTGTTTCTTTATTGTAATTTGTTCCTTTTTTTATTTGATTTTTATAAGTTGTAATAATTCATAACATTCTGTCTCTTTGCAGAAAAATCGGAAATTCGCAAATTTTATAACACATTTTTTTTTTCCGAATTTTTGAGAGATTTGTAAACTTTAAAATTTAAAAAAAAAAACCTAATATGTTCTTAAAAATTAATTCTTTACATCAGTCTGAAATTCAAATACTTATAATAACTTATATACTTATAAAATTTAAAAAAAACACAATTTATGTATTTACAAAAAATAAATAAATAAAATAAAATAAGGAACATTTTAGTGCGCAATCTGAGCTGCCCAAAACATTAAATTTCATATAAAGCACAAGAAATTGGAAAATGATAATAATAATTGCTGAGATATAATCTCATTATTATTTGTTAGCGTTCAATTAGTTTGTAAAAAGCGTTTTCCTGGTTTTCATTTGTACGTAATGGAAATTCTAATTATTTTCATTCAAAAAGTCTTTCAAAATGTGATTTTACTCCTCTATTTCAATTACAAGTTATTTTGATATCTGCGTTGCGTACAAAAAATAAGAAGAGCATATCACAGCATTTACTAAGATGATAGGCTATATATCAAGGATGATAAAAGAAAATATTGATTATTAAAAAATAATTTCATTGCTATAATAAACATTGAGAGGAAATCCTATTATATATAGGTTAACATTTTGGTTATATATAGGTAATAATATATAGGTTACTGCAATAGCTTTTATAAATATGATATTACTCTGATACTTAAATTGCAAGTTACTTTGATTTTTGAATCCTTTTAAAAGTTAGAATTATAAGAAAAGTGTCTCACAACATTCGCTAAAATGGCAGATTGTCTGTCAAGGATGCTAAAAGTTAATTAATGGTTAAAAAATAATTTCATTGCGATAATGAATATTTAGCTAGAATCCTATTACCGTTCAGCAATCTAAAAGACTTTTTCGTGGTTTTCTTTTGTATGTAACGCAACATTTGATTTGTCTAAAATTTAATTTAATTTTAAATAATATATAGGTTATTACAATAGCTTTTATAAATATGATATTATTCTGATACTTAAACTGCAAGTTACTTTGATTTCTGGGTCGTGTTAAAAATTAAAAATATAAGAAAAGTGTTTCACAACGCAAAGTGTGCCTTGCATGTAATGCAAAATTTGATTATTTTTATTTAGTCTTAATTGAAATAAGTTATTCTTATAACTTTAATGATTATGATTGTACTCCAAGTAACTTATGAGTCATTTTGATTTCTGGGTTGAATTAAAAATAATATGGACGTTTCCTTATATTCACAAAGATGATAAACCATCTATCAAGGATGAGAAAAAAATTGATTATTTAAAAATAACTTCTTTTAGATTAAGAATATTTGCCTGGAATACCTATTACCGATAAAAGCAATCTGAAAGACATTTTTGTAGTTTTCTTTATCATGTAACGCAAAATTTGATAATTTTATTTTATTTAAAATAGGTCATTTTTATAGCCTTCATAAGTATATAATTGTATTTCGATACTTAAATTGTGGCTTATTTTGTTTTACTGGTTGAGTTAAAAAGAAGAGCTTTTCGTTTATATTCAGCAAGTTGATACATTATCTGTTTCATAATTTTATAACCGTCGTCGAACAGCTGACTTAATTTTGTGTTTACTCCTACTGATGCTGAACTCCGTAAATGCAATTTTAAATCCAATCCAGAAGACAAGGAGTGTCCTGTTTCAAGTATTGAGAGAAATTTGCCTCCATGGAGGACTTCTTGATTAAAGTAACCAGCATTTGCGTTACATGGAGAGGTAAACCACGAAAACCTCCCACGGTTAGCCTGACCTCAAGGAGACTCCTGATCTTCTGAGCCACAACGGCTAGGCCCGATTAATAATAAAAAATGGTTGCTTATAAAAAATAATTTCATTGAGATAAGGATGAACATTTAGTTGAAATCCTATTACCGCAAAGCAATCTGAAAAACATTTTCGTGGTTTTCCTTAGCGTGTAACGCAAAATTTGATTATTTTAATTTCTATTTAATCTTGGTTAAACTAAAATATTTTAATAACTTTTATAAACATTGTTTCACTCCGATATTTAAATTGCGCGTTACTTTGATTTTTGGGATGAGTTTAAAATTACAAAAAATATGAAGAGCTTCTCGTTTTATTCACCAAAATAATCCGCTGTCTGTCAAAGACACTGAAAAAATGATTTATTGCTTAGAAAAAAACATTCATAAAGGCAGCAATGTTTAAATATTTACATAATATATATATATACATAATATTATTATATATACATAAGTATGTTTAGTTAGTGTTCCTCTGCTAGCACAGCAACCCGGCCGTCCCGGTGATTATCGCTCGTAACGGGTTGCTCATTGTGTAAATTAGCTGGTATGTGGCTCACCCAGTTCGGTTACTCCTTCCCCGGGTTTGCCACATCCTGGTGTTATGATTTGTGTGTGTTTGTGTTGTTTATGTTTTAAAATATTTTGATATTATACAGTCAGAGCTCAAAAAAGCTGTGACAGGGCTATAGTTAGTATTGTCCTTAATAATATCATTGTTAAGCAGGACGTTAAAATCAGAGGTTGTACATTTAGTTGCTTNAGGGAGTGTGGATGTGAACTGTTATCAATACCAGCCTACATTTAAATAAACCTGTTTAGAACGTCTGATGGCTTACGACTGCATTATTTCAAGCTAAATACAACACTGATAACAGGGATGTAGCCCTGTTATTACATATATATAATATAAAATCATAGAAGTCTGACACCGTTTTCCATTGTTGTCGGCAACTGTGAATAATTAAATCAGTTTTCCATAATTCCTCCTTCACCGTTTTAACATAGTAAAATCAATTTTCTTTTTGAGTTATCTGAAGTTAAGAAGAGGTTTGTTCTTTTAATTGAATATTGTTGCTTTGTTGAAATAATACATTTCTGCATTTCTTTGGGGAGGAAGTTTTATTGTAATTTGTTCAGTTGGCGTTTATTTATTCGTATATTTATTTTTAAACTTAGAGTCAAAACACATTAAAGATATATTTTTTTTATTTCTTAATTTTTTGTAAATTTTTATTTTTAATTACTTATTTTTTGCTTAGTATTTTTGGTTGAAATAATTCTTATTGTTCTTTTGGTCTTATAATATAAAGAATTTTTGTCACATTTGATATTGAATATTTATGCGAATTTAATGATTAATTTTTTTAAATCTCATACTTCACTTTTACCTCCTATAATGCAGCCAATAGTATGAATCAAGTATCAACTCACCATCTGTATCAATCTGGTTTTATAGTTAAATTTTTAACAGGTTCAGTTTTTTTCAGACACAGTTAGACTTTCGTAGCATAATAGGCCTCGGCATTTCTTTTTAAGTTAATTATTCAATTGATTTTGACAAGAATTTTTTTAAACATTTTGAAGTATTTTTTTTAATGTTTTGTCTGCATTCGATATTTGTTACGTTTTGTACGTCACTAGCCAATGCTTTCTTTCTTTTTTTTTTAAATTTCATTTTATTTATTTATTTACTAACTTACTTTCGAAGAGTTTATTATGAGCACTTAAAAGAAAGAAGAGAAAAAAGAAAAAAACTTACACCCTAGTTGTTTGTTCTCATATACTATAAAATAATAAAAAATTGGAGAAAAAAACTTTAGAAATTATAATTAAAAGAAAAAATCTTAAACAAAAAAAATAAATTAAATGAAAAATCTTTTATAAATTAAATTATTTAACTTAATTTGAATCAATGCCAGTTTGAAATATTTTAAATTAATGCCTGTTTGAAAGCCTATTCAACCAGCATAAAAAAATGTATGTATGCATGTTTTTTTTTATTGTATTTATTTATTTTTTTATTTACTTATTATTATTATTATTATATTTTTTTTTTTCAGAATGCTGATAATAGGCAATCATTGCAATCAAGTCCTATTTGAAATAATATAAAATGATTCCATGGAAACATGCGGACCAACCACAGAGCAAAAACATGAAAAAAATAAAAGAAATATACTTTCTATTGTTATCATATTTTATTTTCATGGAATGTTCTTTATATCAGAACTTAAACACCAACATAAATAAAATAGGAAAATTGTAAATAATATAAAGTGTATATTATTTTGATAAATTTTAAGGATTTAGTATAATGTTATTAGAAAAATATAAGTAAAAAAAATATTAAGCATTTAATTCTTATAAAATTTTGTGTAACGTAACTTCTTATTTCTTATTTAAAAAAAAATTTTAAAATTTTTTTTTCATTTGCTGTTTTATTTTGTGTAACGTAACTTCTTATTTCTTATTTAAAAATTTTTTTTCATTTGCTGTTTTATTTTAAGTTGAATACATGAGACACCAGATGGTAGAATTCAGAAAAAATATTTATTTATTTATTTTTTTATTAATAAAGAAAGCAAGAATGTATTTTACAGTAAATACAGTTAAACATATCTTTCACACTTTTTGCTATTTAAGTATGCAAAAAATTATAACATTTTAAAAGTACTTTTTCTCAATTAATATTAAAAAAAAGAGAAATATAAATATAATGTAAAAAAACAAAAATAGTTAAGAGGTAAATACAATAATTTTTTTTTAGAAAATTAAAAGCTGAAAATCTATGTAACTGTTTAATTGTTCTTTGCTAAACTAGTTCCACTACATTTCTAAAATTATAATGTTTTGAGTTATCAAATTTATTGTGAGTTATATTTGCTAAGGAAATTTACTAGAAAATTTTTTTTAATGAATTTTTATTAAAATGATTGAGATAAAATATACTGTCAGTGCAAAAGCATATTTTAAGTGTTTTCCCCCTAATATCGTTCTTATAAAACTGTGAACATACCTTATCTGGTGAGGAAAATATTTTATTACGCTCTTCGCGTTTTGTTATTTTTGAAACAACACGTTAAATACTTTTTATAACTGTTTAAATATTTAAACTTTTTTTTTATAAAAGTATTTATAATTTGGATATTGTTATAAAATTAAACAAACTACAACAATTTTGCAAACTAGATGGCGCCATTTCCTTCTTCCTGCCTTTAACTTATTTCGTTTCAACATGAAGCGCTATCTACTTATCTATTTCTAAAATATTTATAATAGAAAAAAATTTAAGTACTAAATTGTGCACACTCGCCAAGTTTATTTTAAAACTTAATTAGTTAATGTAAATTTTAAATTTTTATCTATTATGCGACTGAATTTCATTCAGAAAAATCAAAAGAGTCAATCCATACAATTTCAATCAACATTTTCATTCTAAAAAAATCGTGAAAAATAAAACAAAAGAAAAACAGAGTAGTGCTTTGATGGGCTTAAATTGACATTGAATCGGGGGGGTGAGAATATTATCAAAATTTGAGGATTTAGGAGAAAAGAATTAAAAGCATCAAAATCCAGACTTTTAGGCAGTTCCTTCACTTTTTACCTATCAACCTATCAGAATCAAGAAAGTTCTTATAGCATTTTAAATCTCGCCTTCCTCGATAATGGTTTATTAAGTTTTTGTTTTTCTTCACATACACAGTTATTTGAGACATTAATGCAAAATTATAATAATACAAGAATCTGAAGTAATTCAAGAATATAAAATAAAATGTAAAATTATATTCTTGACAAATTAGCAAATGATAGGGAGAAAAAAAAAACTGTTTAAAAATCCTCTATAGGCAAAGTAAAGAGCGAAAGTTATAAGAACTTACTGAACATCTTTATGAAAAAATATTGGCCTCAGATAATTTTCTTTTAATTCTGCAATATTTAGATATTATTGCTTTTATATATATCAGAAATCTTTCTTCGCCTTCACCATCATTAATGAAAAGGAATTTTTAGCCACATGTCGTGTTATGCCACTTTTCTGTTAGATGAATTTTATCAATAGAATGTGTCATGACAGGCATTGTGGCATGTCTGGTCCTGTACATTTTATTTTCCTATAGTGCAGAATCTGAGTAATGCATGTTTTCCAACTGCTTCACTATAAAATTAAACTAAGTAAAAATTAATTTCAAGCTATTAAGAAATAAAAATAAACCTCGGACCACCTAAAGTAAGAACTAGTTGGATGGTCTTGTAATCACGAAAGTGACCAAAATTTTGAACTGTTCTCCTGCCTAAACTTTTGGCGATCATTTTCCGGATTGCGGCGCTTTATTTACAAGGTCGATAAAAATACCCTCATAACAATGATATTTTAAGTTGCGAAATCAGACTAAAAGAAAATTTTGTTTTTCTGAAAAAAAAAAACATACTTTTTTTCGATGCTAAAACTTACTTTCCCTGAATATATATAAGTTTTTTCTACACAAAAACGTAATTTCTTTGAAGAAACAGACCTTTTTTCGACTGAAAAACGTAATTTTAATGAACAAATTTACCTTTTATCAGCACCAAAACGTACTTTGATTTATATAAACATATTTTTTTCGACTAAAAAACGTATTTTGTCTGAAAAAACATACTTTTTTCTTGACTAAAAAATATACTTCCTCTGAATAACATACTTTATTTTTCGACTCAAAATCATATTTTTCCTGAATAAGCATACTTCGACTTTAAAAATATGGGAACTGCAATCTGGAAAATATGGTTGAGGCACTCAATTATGAAACCTGTTTATATGAAGGTAATTCTTCGCTGAAAATTATTTGTTATTTTTTTATTATTGAAGTTACTAAAAATGATTGAAAATTGTTTTTGTTTTTAAGCGTGTAAATCTTTAATCCAATTGAATACGCGTAATTTTAAATCATGAAATTCAAAATTTTATGGAAATTGGTCAAATAGTTCATGAAATCGGAAGATTAAAAATCACGAGCATTTCTTTTCCCTCCTATGCACAAGAAAGACAGCGTTTGAATATAATTCTAAATGAAATTATTTTTACTTCATTATTTTTTATTATTCTCAATTCAGAAGAGAAAAATCATGAGCGTTTCATTCCCTTCCTATAGGCGAGAAAGACATCGTTTAAATATAATTCCAGATGGAAAAGAAAAAAAAGAATCTTTCAAAAATTTTTGAACAACGGAAAAGCACGATTTTTTTAATTTAATTATTCTCAAATCAGAAGAGAAAAGTCACGAGCATTTCTTTTCCCTCCTATGCACGAGAAAGACAACGTTTGAATATAATTCTAGATGAAATTATTTTTACTTCATTATTTTTTTATTATTCTCAATTCAGAGTGAGCGCTTCATTCCCCTCCTATACGCGAGAAAGACATCGTTTAAATATAATTCCAGATGGAAAAAAAAGAAAAAAAAAAGAATCTTTCAAAAATTTCTGGACAAAGGAAAAGCACGATTTTTTTAATTTAATTGTTCTCAAATCAGAAGAGAAAAATCGCAAGCATTTCTTTAACCTCCCGTTTGAATATAATTCCAGATGAAGGAAAAAAAAAAAAAGAATCCCTCAAAAATTTTTGGACACAACTTTTTTTATTTAATTATTCTTTATTATTCTCAAATCCGAAGAGAAAAATCTAAACCATTTCTTTCCCCTACCGTTTGAATGTAATTCTGGTTGAAAAAAAAAAGAAATCTTTGTAAATTTTCTGGAGAAAAGAAAAACACAATTTTTTTTTTAACTTTATTATTTTTTATTATTCTCAAATCAGAAGAGAAAAATCGCGATAGCTTTTTTCCCCCTCCTATGCGCCAGAAAGACATCGTTTATAGTTAGTTGGAGAATATAATTCCAGATGAAGAAAAAAAAAATCCTTCAAAAATTTCAAGACAAAGGAAAAACACGATTTTTTATTTAATTATTCTTTATTATTCTCAAATCAGAAGAGAAAAATCGAAAGGGTTTCTTTCCCCTCCCGTTTGAATATAATTCTGGATGAAAAAAAATCTTTCGAAAATTTCTGGAGAAGAGAAAAACACATTTTTTTTACTTCATTATTGAGGAAAATATTTTATT